TGTGAAATTCACTGGTCGGTAAGGAAAATCTATTCAATATTCAAACTGATTTTATAAAATTATGGTGCTTTAGTTGTAGCATGATTACATTTTGGAATCTGTCACATATTATAATCCGCCGAAAGTGATTAAGGGCTGTATTTTTTGTAGTGTTACAATCTGATTGTTCGTTTAAATTTCACAGTGCTTAAGCTATGATGTAATTGCAGTTTAATAGTGGAGAACTAAAATGATGTTCTTTTGGATCTTACTGTGCGTTTAACAGGAAGTATCTGTTGCAGATATTGATCGAGAAGGATTGGCTTGGTTTTGGTCATAAATTTGACGATCGATGTGGCCATATTGGTGCTTTCAATGACGAAGCAGCTCGAGAGGTAATGTAAGACAGAACTGCAAGAAAAAAAATGTCCTTATGATAGTAAATGTGACAAATTTTACAAATCTTTAGGAGGATATTTTGGTTATTTCACATTTGCTATAGTTTTAGACATAGAAATATCTTAACTATTAAAAGTTTTAGATTTCAGTAACACTTATATTCGACTTGACGCTTTTCTTATTCATTTAACTCAGACATCTTATTTATTTGGATATCATATTCTTTGGAATTTAAGAAAAGATGATATTTTCGCTGTAAACAATTGCTAGATATGTTATTACATGCAGAAAGAGAATTTCTTGGCTGCCATTATTACTTGTCATACATTGCTTAGGTGTCGCCTATTTTCACTCAGTTTCTGGACGCGACATTTCAAATCATGCGACAGTATCCATGTGCTTTCGAATTCAACGAACGTTATTTAATCCATATGCACGAGCATGCCTACTCTTGTCAGTTTGGTACATTTCTTGGGAATTGTGACAAAGACCGAAAGGTATGCTTAGACACCAAAAAGCGATCCAGTATATTTTATTAGAAATTTGTTTTTACTCTGTTAATTTAGGATCTCAATCTAGCAAAAAGAACACAGTCTTTATGGGCATTTTTGGATGACCGTCATGACGATTATATCAATCCGTTATATGAAGTTAGTCTGCTTTTGATTTTATTCCATTCAAATATCTTGAATAAAATATGGGAATTTTAATTATTGTATGTGATGAAAGTTTCTAAAAAACTGCGGTAATTTGCGAGACTTGTTATGAAAGCTGATAATTTTTGAAGCTAATAATTTTTCAAAAATTTGTTGGGTTTTAGAGTGGTTTTCATAAAGTATATTATTGCATTTTACAAAATTTTACTTTTTCTGAATATTATGATGGAAGTGCAACTAGTACAATTGATAGAACTGAAAAGTTCACGTTGAAAACTGCACGCAGTGTGATCTTTTTTTTTACAGATGAATAAGTATGGTTTTTTGGGAAAAATAAACTTACATCCATCAGCGTTAATTATCTGGACAGCTATGTACAATCGTTTCGATACCGGACTTTTGCCACGGGAAAATACAAATGATGTAGCACTATCAACAATGGAACATGTTGGCATCTTGGAGGCACATTTGGCTTCACTTCAATCGGTATATATTTTTCCTTTTTTTTACGAATTTGTTTGGTCAAATATTGATATCATTAATGATCAAACTTAAAGAAGCAGTCGATGATAAGTTTTTCCAGCTAATTTTGAAAGAATTATGTAAAGTACTTTCACTAGCATTTTTAGTTTCTAACCAAATTTTTAACTTTTTCTTATGAGAAATATATTACAGAGATTGGCAGAATTGAAACTTTTAGTAGGAAAACAAACACCGGGAAGTGAAGTGATGAGTGATAGTGGCCATTCTAGTTCTATTTCTAACACTATTACACCTGAAGCTTCTAAAATTCCAGGTCCTTTAAAATAAAAGTTTTTCATTTTCTTTCTTTTTAACAGATTAATATGCTGATAAAAAACAATTTAAGTTAATAAAAATTTGGTATCTTATTTGTGTTATCTTGTGGTGCCTGCTTTTGCGGTTATCTTTGAGGATTTTTTGCAGAGCGGATTTCAGATGTCACTTCATTAACTCATAATTACACAATGGATGAAAAATGGAAGAAGAATTCCTGGGATGGAGGGCAAAATATCCAGGAAAGTGGCATATACGATGCATTATTCCCATATAGTGTTCGTTTTTGTATTATTTGTTTTTCATAGTAGCAACTTTTTAGCTTTTTCAAAAGGGATGTAGTGTTTTTATCGGTAGAATATACAGGCAAAGTTAAACATTTAAGCTTAAATTATAATCTCTTATTGCTTGAATATTGTAATGAAGGGTATATTTTGGATAGGTCTAAAATGTCATCAGTTATTTGCAAAGCAAAATGGTATTTAATATTATACACTGTTATATCAAATTATGCGTTTTATTTGATTTATCTTTTCTCCTGAAGCTTTTTATATTCACTTTAGTAGGCGATTTTAATATCTAAAAAAATATTTTATGTAATCATTAGGTGATCATAATGAGATAAGTCATTCCTTAAGGAATGAAATGATTTGTTGATGTTATTCGATCGCAGGTCTTTGGTCTTCATCCATTTACTAGAATATATCGCTGCTTCTACTGTTGTCATTTGTGTGATGAGAATTTATGGTTGCTTCTCTGAAACTGATATTTCAGGACAATAATAGTCCATTGCCTGCTTTACGCTGGCAATCAATTCGTTCGGCAGATGAATGCTCAAATATTGATTGCAGTGCGGAATTTGTCACGCGTGGTGAGCGTCGTCTACACTGTTATAGGTGCGGTAAAATTCACTGTCGTCGTTGCATGATGCTTACATCAGATGGTGTTGAGCGTGTTTGCATTGCATGTTCGGAATTGGTTCAGCAAAACAATTCATAATAATAATAAGTTGCTGTTAATATAGTTTTGATTAATTTTTCGAAAATTGTTTTTTTGGTAGAATAAATTCATTCTTTTTCTTTTGTTCTTCGTAACTTTTGTTATAGTTTTAAATTTATTTGAGATAAACTTGGTTGAGTAATTGAGCAGTGAAATTCACATGAATAACTTATTTTGAAAACTGCTAAAAGAATCCATTTTATCTTTTCAACCAATCCTACATTATTAGTAGTAATACTGTTTAATTATTAATTGTTTGAATCTTTTTAACTAATCTAGTAAACCATATCATTTGTCGGATTTATTTCTAAGGTGCACCTAGATGTTCTTTTTCCCTCGCATTCAAATTTCGAATTTTACATATGATCAAATATTTAAAACATTAACTATTTATTGGTATTGTTTTCATGATTTTCGTATTTTTTATAACTCAACGATAACTGATATTTTGTCTTCTCATAGCTCCATTGGTTGTGTTGTAATCTTATCATCCTGTGTTAGTGTTTCTGCGTTTTATTTCATTGATCCTTGTTAATTCTTTTTTTTGACTGATTTTTTTTACGCGGCTAGGTGCAACAGATTTACATGACGAATGTGATCATGTATTTAAAATTATCAAATGTTGAGTGGAAATGTGAACATTTATGAAATTATGATACTTTGGGTCTTCACAGATTTATTCGTTATATATTTCACTTCTGCTTCTTACTAATATACTTCCCTTATATACTTCGTTAATTTTTCTTTAGATTGTTGGGTTTGGGCAGATGCAAAAATTTTTAATTTTCAATTAAGGGCTTAGCTTGCCTTTAAATATCAATAATTAAAATGTGTAGAAAAGGTAAAATCTAAACAATTTTAACTTTAAAATATGAAAACTAAAAAACAGAAGTAACCACTGATTTGTAACATTTACTGTCTGCACTTTTGGTTTCCTTTTTTTGTCTCTGGATTAAATTATATGATTACTTTACTTCAACTTTTAGTTTGATTATTTATAGCTAAAAAGGGCAGATGTATTATTGATTTGACATTTGGTCCTTTTTTTTTAATTTAATCACTGCTATAAATCTTTATGTAGTGTCGTAATAACGATAAGTAAGATGTTCTACATTTTTGTATTATTTGATAACTTAACAGTTATCAGTGTTAGCAAGTTTGTATTTCTCTTATTAATCTTTATTTTCATTTCATTGAAAACAAAGTAAGATAAGGGCAAATTTTCAAGAACAGTTCAATAAATAAAATTTAACAGTGTTGATTGAATGTATTTGTGCTCCTATCTCTTTATGCATGCATATCTGATTGCTTAATAGATTATTTGTTTTTGTTAAATTCTTTTTCTATTTCAGTTAAATGTTTATTGTTAGTGATTTAAGGATTTTCGTGCTTTTGTCAATGTTTTAGTTGTTTTTTTTTTTTTTTTTTTTTAAAAAGCATTATGTTTTTACATGTGTTTTACAAATGATCAATAAGATAGCGTGCACACAGAGTTGGTAAGTGAAGGAAGTGCTTGTGAGAGATGTCATTACGTGTTCTGGTTTATGGTCTTTTTCAAATAAGATTGAAATGAGGTTTGGAATAGATTAATTAGGTACTAAAATAGTTCTAAGAGAGAGACGCATTAATTAGGTTCTAACTAAAATAGTAGCATTCTTGTAGATATTCGATGATATTCAAAGGAATTGGCATAATCTAAGAATGTTTGATCGAAACAATCATACTAGGATGTAAAAATGAATTTGAAAATTCATCTATGAAATAAATGACAAAATATTACCAATGATAAATCAATATAATTTGCAAAATAATTTGAATTGTCACAGACATTATTTTATGGTGGAATTAAAATACTTGTGACTTCGATATTCAAATTTGTACATTTGGAACTTAAGCATGTTAAACAATAAGCTTAAACCATTACATATTCAAAAATGTTGTAAATCTGTATGTTTTTATTAATTTCTAGCAATAAAATATTTCATACCCCACCCAACTTTATTTCAATAAATAATAAATTTCAAAATACCCATTTGCAATATTCAAAAACTAATTTAAAATAACTACTTATGTTATCAATTGCAATTTTAGTGAATAAAGGTGAACAACCGGTTGCATATGTGCTTGCTATTATAAAATTTTTGAACAAAAAGTCGAAAAGTTTCATATGCGATGGAAGATGTAATGTTCGTTAATTTTTATCTGTTTTATATCTCTTTCTTATTTTTGATTCAGAATTTCTTTAAAAATTTCTGATTTTTAAACTTTTTTGTTTTAATAATTGCGTGATAATAATTTCGATCTAATAAAGTAGTTTGATCATCCTTTATTTTTGTAATAATGTTAATGTAAATATTGTAATAATAATAATAATTTGCGCAGTTTTTCCGCAGTAAATCACACAGTACCACCGGCAACAATAGGCCACAATTCTTTTTACCGTACAGTACTCGTACAGTAGCAGTCACATAATCCACCGTAATTTTACAGTAAGCCATACAGCACCACCGGCAACAATAGGCCACAATTCTTTTTACCGTACAGTACTCGTACAGTAGCAGTCACATAATCCACCGTAATTTTTTTTTTACAGTAAATCATATAATACCAAGAACAATGATAAATCGACAAATGAAAGCATAGCTGACATTGATAATGATGAAAATCATGCGAGTAATTTAATGAACTGTATAGTACCATCGACTAGTGTTAACCAACGGATGCGTCGTATTGAAGAAATTTTAGATTCAATACCGTATTTCTTTGGTAGTATGCTTGATGATAATAATTTGCAACGACGCTTACTTGTTGAATTAGGTTAAATATTTTTTTCTTCGTTTTTTTTTTTTTTTTTTTTTTTTTTGATGAAATTATTTTTAAGCTACGGAAAAAGTGCAACATTGATATTTAATTGGATAATAAATGGATTAATTTTTTTTCTGTTCAAAATAAATCACAAAATATTAACCAGATATTAATATTGGATATGAATAAGATATTGATGAAGTAGCAATACGAAACCATATTTTCTTACAAATTTATCTTTATAAGTTATTTTGAAATTTCTATCCTACACTACAACATTTAATAGCAGGTGATTGCCTTTTAATATCATGTCCAAAATTAAACGAAAAAATAAATCCGGAATCTAATTGGTACTTGGTTGTATTAGAAGCAAATGAAATTGTTGAAAAAGTTAGGGTAAGTTCATGATTCCTTTTGCTTTTTAATATTCTCCCGAATTTTCCAATTTGAATATGTTTTTCAAGTATTTGATTAAATTACAACATTCAATGAAGTTTTGCTCGGAAAAACAGCAAATTTAATTTGTAATTGATCATGAGGTGATTGTATTTAGGTAGCATATCGTGATAAAACTTTTAAAATTTGGAATGATAAGAACACTACACTACATCAGTATATCGAAATGCGATCTTTGAAAACAATTGAACGACCGTGGAATATTATTCCAGAACAGGTTTTAAAATTTTCAGAAACTTTTTACATCTCAAACTTTGGATATAATACAGCAATGACAACCTGGTAAGAAGTTAATTTCACTTTATGCTTAACGATTGATTGATATGAAATGGTCAAAAAGTTTTATAATAAGAATTGTTCATTTTAGATTAAAAAATAATGAAGAAAAATCTAAGTAAAATTAAAATATATATACGAAAAAAGGGTGAAAAAGGTTTAATTGTCAAACATTTTAAAAGTTGATTAATTTTTTTTTTCCTAAACACAACTGTTATAGTTAACCAAAAAGATGCCCAATATTCTTCATCATGCATATCCAATTAATGATGTAATTTTCCCATTGGGCAAATTTTTACAAAAAACATTAAACATTGATCATAAACATTGGATACCAGTGATCGAAATGAGTGTAAGCAATTGTAGCATTGATGAATTGAAATGTTTGATTGTTGAAGCAAGAAAACGACGACGATTTGGATCAATGTGTGCCATTAGCGATTTATTATTTTTCATTTTAATAATACCATTTTTTTTATTTAAATTTTTGTATAATGATAGTTTTATGAATTAATTTTCCAAAAAACTTTAGTTCATTGCTTTTTTTATTCAGATAAAATAAATAAAATGAAAGATGCAAAAAATTTCAAATAGCTTATTTTAAACGTTTTTTTTTTTCACCACACTTTACACGTTATCCTAAAATACATAAAAAAAAAAAACTTTAAAAAAAGGATATTGAAAATCCATTTCAACAATATTTTTAAATTTAAAGTCCAAATTTTATGCCATTATATTAAGAATGGTTCAAATTATGAAGGACTGCAATTTCGCTGAATTGTTTAGTTATAAGTTATTGTATGTTAAGAAGAATTTGGCGACTCTGGGGCATATGTCACTATTCGCCTGAAAGTGTGTCATTAGTTCTTGAAGATATTACTTATGGTTCGCTTGCTGACTTTATTCGAACAAGTCCTAGACCACAAGATCAGGTAATGTAAGAGTTAATTTTTATAGAAAAAAAAAAGAACAGAAAGATTGCATAGGCTAAATTGTTTAAACTAACAGAAAAAATAAGCCATAAACTTGGCTATGGCCAGAACGAAAGCAGTTGTTGCATGCTTATTTTTTATACGTAAATGATTTATAAATTAAATGAAATTATGATGATAGATACTCCATTATTATTTATTCGTAATTACTAATTGTTAGGAATAAGCGATTTAATTAAGTATTATATTATCTGAAATTGAATTAGTTTATTACGGATGTTGTTGTAAAAAAGACTGAATGAATTTTATAAATTAAAATAAAATTTTATACAGTTTTGATGGTAATGCTAGCAAATGTTAATGTTACTATCTAGCATGCTGAAAAAATTTTTGACTTATATGAAAGTAACTTATTTTCAATGCAACATGATTTGAATTATTTTATTCATTTTTCCTATGCACATATAATTAATTGACTCTTTACAAAACTTTTTATGACTACAGGACATAAAACAATATTAGCATAAAATTAATTAACTACAAACGTTATTAAACTATAATTAGGAGTTTTAACTTTTTTATTTATATAAATATATTGTGCAAGTAACAAATAGCTGACAAAATTTTATCATTTATTTTTTCAGCGATATAAATTTTTTACGTAAATAGTAAATTGTTTTCAAATTTTTTATCGCTTATTTTTTTAGCAATGTAAATTTGCTATACAAATAGTAGATGGCCTTCGAAATCTTGAAAAATATGGTTTTATACATTGTCGTTTATCAATTGATGTTTGTTTACTTACTTATAATTACAATGTTAAAATTGCAATTTATGGATTAACCCCAGGTGAATTATATCCAACGTACGTTGATGTTGACGATATTGATCAGTGCAGGTTAATTTAAAGTTGAAATTTAATATTAGATGAATATTTCGTTTTTTTTGAGCTTTGTTTTTCTTTTTGGTAATGAAAACTTCAATGTATACACTGCTTCAACAAACATTTGCTTAACAGTAAATCCGAAAAAAAGAAACAGAAAAATGAAATTCAATTTTCAAAAATTTTTATTTGTTTTCTCTACTACTATTATTATTATGCTTTTTCTTTAAAAAAAAAAATCGTAAAAGAAATTTTATCGATATTTTCTCATTTATGTAAAATGAAATGTTTAAGTCAAATCAAACAAAGTGTACATCATCGCATTTACAGCAAATTTGTAAAGAATTTTGTTAAAGCAAAGATTGAAAAGGACTAATTGTTTTCAGATGGTTACCGCCCGAATGTTTACCAAATTCAGACATTACACCGATGCCATATAATACGTCAGGAATGATTTATTCCTACGGGATCATACTTTGGTCAATGTTTCATGGCGGTGCATTACCGTTTGAAGATGAACCTGCGGAAAATATTCGAAGTCGTCGATATCGTATACAAAATCCATTGTATATTGAACCGGAATTAGTTCCAAATGAAATTCGTAATGTTAGTTAGTCTATTTAAATAATTTATAGTGAGTAATTAATTAGTTATGTAAAAAAATAAGTAAAATAAAAAAAAAAAGAATGATACGTTTCAGTAACATAAATCAATGATTAATTGATTATATTTATGTCATATTATCCGTTTTAAAATTTAATTAAAAATTTTTCTTCAGTTTTTTTTCAAAATGTTGTTTCAAAATTTTCGAATTTTTAAAAGTTAAAAAATTTTTGACCATGTAAATTTTTGTCAAAAAAGATCAAAATATTAAAAATTTCCTACCAAATCTGTTGAACATTTTCTTCCTATAAAACATTTTTTATCTAAGATTTAATGGGAATCTGCAAGACATTATTATCAGTTACAATAAGTATTCCTGAACTGAAAAATTATGTATGAACAAACCAAATTTTTTAAAGATTTTAAAGTTTTTTGAAAATCAAATATTTTGTTGCGAAACTTAAATGATGAAATTTTGAACTCGAAGATTTCATTTCTTCGCTATAAAATATGCTGAAAACATTGCAAATTTTATCCCAACATTTTGATTTATTTGATTAAAATAAATTTGTTGTGCATTAGCATTATCATTATTATCATTATTATCTATAGGGCTTTCATATAATTGCAATTTCAGGTGATTTTATCATGTTGCAGTGAAGACATTGCTATTCGTGGTCGTTTAAAGACTATCAAAATATACCTTCGAAATTATTCTCCCTAGGCAGCATAAATTTTTCATTATTTCTTATCAGTCTTTGTATATCATATCACTAACTAAAAGCATAATTGCTGCATATTTAAAAAAAAAAAAATTTAGGAAATAAATTGATAAAATTTTGTTGTACATTTCATTAAGGATGTTTTAGATTTTCCAAACTATTGCTATTATCTTTATATTAGCTGAGAAATTTTGAAAAAATCAAATTCAGTTGGTAAAATTTTAATTTATTTCCTAAATTTTAAATATGCAGCAATTATGCTTTTTGAAAATTAGGTCATTAATATGAAATCTTCACTCTATAACATCAATTGCTATAAATAAACAAATTATTGTCAACACCAATATTTGAAACAATTCACACATCATTTTTAAACATTTTAGAAATTCAAATTTCAAATGAATTTTTGAGCTGAAAACAAGTGCAGCTGTTTCGTAGAGTATTACTGTTATATTGAACTTTGACCTTTGTGACTCTCTTTGCTAATCAGCTGTTGCTCACTCCTTCAGATTACATTTGCTCAAAAACTATGCGCCAGTCTGCTTCTGCTCTCGGTTACTGCTTCCAACAATCGAAACACACCTTGTCCGAATTTTTTCGATGACCTTTTATCCAGCGACCATCTGTTTTTCTTTTATATTATTTCTCTCCACTTTACGTATTTCTTCTCTCAATTATCATTGATTTCGAAAATTTTAAACAACTAAATAAAACTTTTAAATTTTGACTAATTTCTGTTTTAAATTGTTTTCTCTTTTTCCTTTCATTTTTTTAAATCACTTCTTTTAATAGAATTTTTTATTTTGAGGTATATTCCATTTGTATTTTCGAATAATTATTGCTGCTGATATTTTTCTATGTTTACTAAACTGAAAATTATTGCAATATTATTATTTATTGGAAATGGAAATGCATTACTGCTCCACGATCCAGTAACTTATATTAAATTACCAAAACAAACAAAGGTACAAAATTTATTTATTTATTTTCTTTTCTTTTTTTTTTTTTTTGCTTTTATGTTATCTATGACAAAAGTAAAGAAAAATGAAAAATTACTTTCCTTTCTTCATTCAAAAGCTGACGGAAGCTTCTGGTTGATTTTTTTGATTAAATAAATAAATGAAATATATTTCAGTGATATAAATCAATTTATCGTATCAAATCATAATCATATCACCTGAAACGAATCAAATTCTAAAATTTAAACTTTTCTCATCTTTTTAACTTTTAAAGGAAAAAAGGAAAAAATTAAGAAGTTTTGATATTTTCTGTTAAAAGCTCCTCTCTCATCTTTATCGTTCAAATAATTTTTATTCATTACTTTAAAAAAACTCTAAACTCTTTTTTTGATTTTTTTCATTTATTTAGAATATATGTTCTATTAATTGCTGTAAAATATTTTCTTTTCCAAATTGAAAAAATAAAAATATAGGAACATCGATTTTTTTCATATATATATATAGAATATTTCAAAAGTTTTTTTTTTTTGCTTTTAAATAATTGATTAGATTTTTTCAGGGAAATAAAAATTGTCAATGGTCAGAAGAATGGTTGGAAAATGTTCCTATTGATCATTTTTCATTTCATGATAATCGAGTTTTCCGTTTGCGGTCTCTTTTACTTTTCATTATTTTTTTTTCTTAAATTTAACAGAATTTTTTCTAATTTATAGGATCAAAACCGAAGATAAAAGTTTTTTTTTTACTTGCCGGAATTTAGGAAAGTTATGTTAAACTAGGTAAATTTTAGGAATAGTTTTAAATCAAATTTTAATATCATTGTTCTCATCATTCTATATTGATTGCAATTCTGAATTTTTAGTTATTTAATAAGCACAGAACACTTTGTTTCTAATGGACCAATTTTTTTCTATACTGGCAATGAAGGAAACGTCGAACTGTTTGCGCAAAATACAGTAAGTTTGAAATTTTTAAGTAAACTATGAAATTTATTTCGAGCCACTCTAGGTTAATATTTCTAAATCGATTAATTGATTATTGGTAGTAATTTTATCGAATGATTTTAATTCATTTGGTTCCTGCTGTGAAATTAAGTGGTTAATAAAGTTTAATATTTCATCTATCTGTTATTTGAATATTTGGACACTTAGTCCAAATGTCCAGCTGTTAAGCTTCCATTTTTTTAATTTTACTACTTATTGAAATTTCATTTTTCCAGTATTTCTACTTATTAATTATTTCTTTTTTGACCATTTACTTGTTTTTTCTTTTCGTTCCATTTTCAAATTTTATCATATCTGTATCAGTTCAATCACTTATTAAAAAAAAAAAATTCAGTGCTGCAAGCAGCTGCTTTATTCACTGTTCATTTCGTTTCATACATATTAATTCCTTCAACAAATATTTTAATATCACTCATTACTTATTGTCTCAGCATTTATTGATCGGATCAAAGTTTGATTTCTAATTTATTGTTCAATTTTTTTAATAAAATGTTAAGTGATTAACTTGTTTGTCAGAAATTTCTGCAAGATTATCTTCTCCTTTTTTTTTTATAAATTTATTTTATTAATTTATTGAACAAAGCAAAATGTGACAAACAAAAAAAGGCAATAATGTAACACAAACTTTGATTAATTCCTACTTTCAGTATTTTTAGGGTTTGATGTGGGATTTAGCACCGGAATTTAATGCAGCTATTATATTCGCCGAACATCGATTTTATGGGAAATCACAACCGTTCGGCAACGAAAGTTATGCAACAATCCGGAATCTTGGTTATTTATCATCTGAACAAGCATTAGGTGATTTCGCCACTCTCATATACCATCTTAAAAATAAGGTAAATATAGTTGAAATAAAGTGATTTCGCTTATATTAACAAAGATTTTAAAATTGGTTTTATTATAGGAGATATGGCATTTATTGCAATTGCCTTTGAATAATGAAATGGAGCACTTACCCAAGTGATAACTGATAAATCTGAAGCAACGATAAAATATAGTTTAATTGCTTTCATTCCTAGTCATCTCTAATAATTTTTGACTTCCTCATTCCTAGACATTTAGTGCTTTGGTTTTCACAAATTTTGCTACACTAATCAATTTTGTTGTCAAACATAATGAATTATATAATGGGCAACCAACTAATGTATGGGTAAGAAATAAATGTAAGCAAGTAATAAATGTGGGCAAGTGATGTATGTGGGCAACAATTACATATGGGTGGGTAATATGTATATACAATAAATGTTTTTTTGCACATTGGTATTAGTTGTGAAATTTGTGTAAGTTATATATTTTAAATAATTTCTAGAAGCTTAAATTTTAAAATATTGTACAATTGCGTTTTTCCTTTATTTACATTCTTAAATTCAATTTGTTTGCTGAATTTACAATAATTATTGCAATTAATTCAGCGTCTTTTGGTCGCTCAAAATTCATCTGTCATAGCATTTGGTGGGTCGTATGGTGGTATGCTTGCTGCATGGATGCGTATCAAATACCCACATTTAGTAGAAGGGTCTTTTATTATCATTTTTTTTTTAATTTATTCAACTATTTCTTAAATTTCTTGTGACTTTCTCCTCTTTCTAGATTCTTGTTCTGCAAGTTTTTTTTTTTTTTTTTTACAAATTTTGAGATTTCAGTTAGTAATATTATTATTTTTTTCTTATAAAGAAGGCAATGTTTTACGCAATAGTCGAAAAATCGAAAAGCAGAAAAACAGTAATACTTTCCAGGTCTATAGCATCAAGTGCTCCGGTTTTCTGGTTTATTGATATGTCAAGGTCTGTGCCGCAAGATGCGTACAATCGTATTGTTAAGCGATCTTTCCTTAGTTCCGGTTGTATAGAGAAAAATATACTTGATGGATGGATTGCACTTAAAAATTTGTCCTTGACTAGTCAGTCTAATTTGTTTCAGTGGTCGATATCAACTTAAATTATTCCTACATCCATATTTATCAGAATATATGCTTACAATTCATGCTTGTCTGGATATTTCTTAAATCATGCTCAGTTATTTTTCTCCCAAATATTAATTTCTTTTAAGAATTATTTTTTATGAATTGCTACATGACCTGATATCGAGACATACGTGGCCTGATATTGAAGCATTTTTTTTTTTTTTTGGCTAATTCATTCATTTATTGTTTCTTTAGCGACTGGTCGAGCTTATCTAAATGGCTTGTTTCATTTGGACAAAAAGTCACACTTGAAAATAAGCACTGATTGGATAATGCTTAAAGAATATCTCGAAGATATATTTGAATCCATGGCGATGGTTAACTATCCATATCCAACTAACTATCTAGCTGAACTTCCAGGATGGCCTGTTAAAGTTAGTTTTTGTTTCAGCTTTTGCATTTACAGACAAGACTGTGTATTTTATTATATGTCCTTTTGAAATATTTAGAGGGCTTCAATTTGCAATCTGTTTTTTATTAAAATTAATTGTGGTTTGGTAGCAAAAGATTCAAATTTAAGCACTGACAGATGCAAATCGTTATTATTGAATGAATCATTAAAAATTATAACCTTATAATTATCCAATCAACCGATACATATATACTACTTAAATCGTCTTTTTTTTTTTGCTCAAAGTAAATCCTTATTGTTAATCCTCTCCAATTTTCTTTTCATTTTACGCTGTATACAATTATTTTTCATAAAAAATTCCCAAGTGTCTCAAACATTACATGCAACTTTACTGTGATATTTGTAGGTTGCATGTCAATTTTTCAACAGCAATAAATCAAAAAATGATGAAGAGTTGGCACAAAGTATGTATGGAATAATGAATCTCTATTATAATTATACTGGTCAAAAAAAAACATTTTGCATTAAACCAGATGTGTGCAATGATTCCGCATATGGAGCACTTGGTGATCCATTTGGTTGGCCATGGCAGGTATGAGAAAAATTATTACATTTTTATTCTTAAAAGTTTTAATTGAAATTTGGATAGAGAGAATTTAAAAGAGAAAAAAAATTTGGTAGGAAGAAAAATGAAGAAAAAATGCAAAATTCAAAATAGATAAAAAAAACGATGAAAAAAAATGTGTTACACATAATAATGCTTCACACAGTAATATAAACACAGATTATGAACAGTTAATTGGCATTATTTTAAGCACTTAAAATTATAATACCAGTTAATTAACTAAAATAATTTAAGTCTTGTACTGAAATGGTAATGCAGCAATGTTCCAGTGGTCCACCTAATGATTTCTTTATTAAGAATTGCCCATTTAGTCTTAAAGGTAGATACATTTTGATTCTTGATTTAATTCAGAAATCTTTAAATATCTACTTCCACGATTAGTTCAATTTATAAATCAGAAATTAAATTATTAATTTCCGCGCAGCATTAATTTTCAATTTTTAGTGCTCTCCAATTTATGTAAAACCAATAAAAACTTCAGTTTTTTCAAAAAATTGCAATAATTAATGATCTGAAAAATAATATACGTAATGATTTTGTTTACCAACCAAATTTCAAGGAATTTAGGTCAAGAATTATATTGCATCAATACATTTGGAAAACTTGGATACACAAAAGCTTTAATGCGGCCACATTGGAGTATTTTAAATTATGGTAATCGATATCCAACCGCCACGAATATTGTATTCAGGTTACTTATTACTTTTATAATGATGTTACAATTAATCTGAAATTTTCAGTTTTTTTCTTCAGGAATTTGATGCTTATTCTAAATGACAGTAATTAAAAATTTTGGATTTAAAATAAAATTTTTAAAATTGATGAAAACTTCTTGATTAATTCAATCTGTTGCTTTTTCTTAACAAGAAAAATAAAATCAAGGTGAGAATTCATGAGTAGCTTTTTAAGCATTATAATCACTTTATCCATTTTTATTTTTTATCCATTTTGTTAATTGCAAATTTTGTAATGAGCTGCAAAAAAAAATTGAAGTAACGGTTATTTGGATCCATGGTCTGCTGGTGGTTGGTCATTGAAATCACGAGTGATGGGATCATTGATTAGCATTATCATTAAGGTCAATTTCCTTTATATTACTTCACCTAATTATTTATTTCTGTAGTGGGCATCTGTTTTATACATTGGAAAATTATTTTTATTAAATTTAGAAAAGAAAAGTCAACGAAATATTTAATTTACAGAGGTAAATATAGCAATGCTATTGAAGATGTTAGATAATAAAAAGGAATAAGTAAACAAATAAACAATTATATAATTGAACTTAATATGACAAGGAAGAGAAAAAATATATATTTTAAGGATGGCGCACATCATTACGATCTTCGCGGCAAACATCAATTGGATACGAATTCGGTAAAAGATGCAAGACGTTTGGAAAAATTTTATATCAAATATTGGTTGAAAGAAGCAAAATTGAAACAACAGAAAAAAAATTATTAAATTTCTATTTAAATTACTTGTTTTTTCGAAATAAAAGAGCTTTCTTTTATCTTATTGGCAAGCATTAGCAATGATAAATAGCGAAAAGACAAATTTAATTATCTGAATTGAAATGGTTCAATGCTCGAAAATAAAAAGTTTCTGTCTTTGTGGCAGATAAATTTTCTAGCAATTTAATAAAAGCCAGGAACAAATTTTCTAATTGAATTTAAAAAAATTTATTCGAAAAAGAAAAATTCTGCAGAAAAATGCATATATACTTGGTGCTCTGTACCTGTTCTTTTACAATTTGTTTTCTTCTGTACTCGGAATTTTTTCCGGTTTCATTAATTGTTATCGATAGTTTTTTTGCAAGGAATAAGCGATTTAATGGTAAGTTAAAAGTAATAATAGATTTTCACTTCATACAAAAATATAAGTCCAAATTCTTATGAATGATAAAATCAGAAGTAAAAGAATATTTAATTCAATCGTTATCTGAAATTTCATTTAATTTTATATAATATTTCTGGTACTGTAATCAGAATTGGAATTACATTAAATATTCAATTACTTAATAGTAGTATTGCATCACAATTAATATTATATCTAATTATTAATTTGATATGATGTAGCATTTTATGTGCATTACAATTGGTATTATAACATTGAATGCTTTCTGCATTATTTTCAAATGGGAAATGAAAAGAACATATGAATATAATTTCAGAATTGCTATAAAATTTTTAACAAGTGATAGAAGTATAAATTAATATATTTGATAAAATTTTAATAAATAAAATATTTGGAATTATTTTTATTTGTGCATTCAAGAGACAGAAGAAAAAGTTTCAGAGCAAAATTACTTTGTTAAAAAAAAAAATTGTCAAAACCTTCACTTGAAAACAACGCTTAAAAAATTTTAAAACAAATTTTAAGCACATTTTTTTAAATGCCATTTATGCGTGCCTTTAATCTGAGCTATTGCAGTAGAAATAGTTAACATAGCAATAATAGTCAGATAGAATCAAGAAAAATTTCTTTATTTCCTGATTTTTATTTAAATTGTTTATTTTATGATTTACTTCTTTCCTTATATTTTTTTTTTCTTTGTCATAGCGATGAGTTAATTATAAATTGATTTTTTTTCTTTTTTATTATTATTTTCATGGCTTTTTTATCCTTAGCAATAAACAATTGTTTTATTGAAATCATTTTTTTTTGTTCAAAAACTAAAACTAATGTCAAATAATTTCGTGTTTGTTTGTCAAATTTTTTCAACAGTGAAGTAATTATTATCAATAAAGCATTCTTTAGCTTCATAAACTAATAAAAGATTGCTTTTGCTTTATCATTATAATCTTTTTTCCTCTGCTATTTCAAAGCATTGTATAATTTATATGCTCCGCATTTCATTGCACATAAGCAAACATATAAAAATTTTAATGTACGTTTTCTACCTTATCATTGACTGAAAATTTTTTTAAACTTTTTTTTGGTTAAAAAAAATTTTTTTAATAATATAAAACAAGGTAATTTTAGGATTAATAAATCGTGGTAAGAATGAATTGTATTGAAATTTTATGGCTAATTAACATAACTAATCAAATTTTCAAGGTGAAATTAATTGAGTCATACTTGATGCATATCTATTTTGAGGCATACTTAATTCGCTAAAATTAAATTATCCCTATAAAGACATGTATTCAAAAATTTTGGTTATACACGGATAATATTTTGTTTTAGGATTATATTAATAAAACTATAAGTTTTTCTCAATTTTATTTACTGATAAATGAGAGGTAAAGGCTGAATTTTGCATTTGTATATAAAAATGTTGAAAAATTATTCATTCAATATTTATCAATGTTGAAAATTTTAATATCAATTAATTTTTCAGGGTTATTTTTTCAACATTATCTAACCATGTTGCTAGTATTACTGGAAATATTAATAGCAGGAAGAATGGTTACTAGTGATAATGTTAGAAAAATTGGTATATTTCCTCCAACTCCAATTATCACTCGAAATTCATCGGATAATTTGTGGATGACAACAAAACTAAATGCTATAATGGAATCAATGAATTATGAGTGGAATGTTAAGTGGTATCAGTCAATGCCAATTGATCATTTCACTTATCGAAACAATGAATTTTTTAGTCTTAAGTAGGCAGTATTTTTGTTCTTGTATACTAAAACTGAGAAGTGAAAAGTTTGAAGTTTCGACTTTTAAAAATTAAAAAAGTGTAACAAAGAACTGTGGTAAGCTGTTTATAATCAGAATTTGTAATTAGTTATTCAGGAAGTTTTGATTTCTTACAATTATTCATTGCTGTTTTTGAAAAAAAACCGCAAATTCTTTAATTTTTCAGGTATCTAGCAAATTATTCGTATTTTCTATGTGATGGACCGCTATTTTTCTACGCTGGCAATGAGGGAGATATTGAAGCATTTGCGCAAAATACTGTAACTTAGTCTTTTTTTAAAGCCTGTACTAATTAATTAATTAATTAATTAGTTAGTTAGTCAGTTAATATTTCATGTCTACGCTCTTGAATGTATCAAGGAATTTATCATCAATACTTAAATTTACAACTGATTAAAATTCACAGGGTATTATGTGGGATTTAGCGCCAAGATTTCATGCTGCTATCGTATTCGCGGAACATCGATACTACGGTAATTCGAAACCTTATGGAAAGCGAAGTTATATGGTACTGTAATGTACATGTATGATGTTAATAATTATATTTAAATAATTTTGTAATAATCTCTCACTTTACTTGTAGTTTAGATGCCTTGTGGACATTTGATTATAATAATTACAATATGTCACGTTATTCTGGATACGGTATCCGAAATTACGTGATTTCGTTTTTCCAAAGTACAGTACTGCAAAAAACAAAATCGAAATAATATATATCACAAATTATTAACTTTTGTAATTGATTACTACAAATTTCAGGATGTTTTACGACTGGGATATCTGAATGATATCCAAGTATTGGCTGATTTTGCACAATTGATTACGTTTTTAAAAACTGATCAAGAGGAACTTGGCTTTTGCCCTCCGGGTACCGAAATACCGGTTATCGTATTTGGTGGTTCATATGGTGGGATGCTTGCCGCATGGCTCCGCATGAAATATCCACATATTGTGGATGGGTATTACAACTTTTTTTTTAAATTAATCATCATATCTTCAGTCATTCCTTTAATCCTTTATTTCGGTTTGTTACAAAAATTCAAATTTAAAAAAAAAAAAAGTGGAATTAGATAGAATAGTCAACGATATGTAATGGGATAAATTCTAAGAAACTTATTAATATTTTCTTTTGTTTATTAACAAAAAAGAGTTTTAAAAAAGAAAACGCAGATTTTATGAGACAGGGATAAATTTAGATTGTGTGAATAATGTAATAACTAATTATGTAACTAACGAATGTAACCAGAAGATAATTTTAGAAGAATTTGTTGCAATTCAGAAATCTGATAACTTTCTCTAATGCCGATGAAACTTTACGTATTTATTACCATAATCTTTCTGAGGACATTTAATACCTTATAAAAATTTTAAAAAGCTGATAAAATTAAATTCTAACAATGGTCCTGCTTCGATAAGAAGTTTGGAAATATTTTAGAGCCTGGGCATCATCAGCACCACTAAGAAATTTTTATGGAACAGGGATAAATCCAGAGAGTGTGAGTAATGTAACAACAACTAATTATGTAACTAACGGATGTGACTGGAAGGTATTTTCAGAAGGATTCGTTGCAATTCAAAAACTATCAAAAACAGGTCACTTAATTGTTTTCAATTAATTAACAAATGCAATCTGTATATAAACATTTGTCGAAGACAGACGAAGTTCTTTCTGAATGTATTTGTCATTTATTGTGCGGTTTTTTTATAAAAATTTACAAATAATTCATTAAGAATTGTGAAAAAAAGTTCTCATATAGAAATAATGAAAATAAAAATATAAATAGATTCTAATATAAATTGGAAATTTGTCCAAAAAAACAACTCAAAATAATCATACGATACTCGGGAAATGTTGAAATTGATCTCATTCAAATTAATAGAAATTCCTGTTGCGATTAATTTAACTATTCTAGTGAAAGCTTATTTATGATATTTATAATGTACCAAACAATCCATCATTTTATATCATTTAATAAACAAAAATTTCATAGTAAAAAATTTTGTATGCAATAAATATTAAGTCATAAATGAAATTTTTTTTCTTGAAATCATGTCTACTATCACCTGAAGCTTACATATTTTATGCCATTGACCTTTTCAGTACAATAAAAAAATGGATTATTATTCCAAGATGTCCTTTTGTTATAGAAGAAGGTCGAATGAAATTGAATCAAATATTCCGCTCAAAACCAGGCTTTGAAATGAAAAACTTTGATGATTTCACAAGTCTCTATTCTTACATTTATTCCGCTGTTTTTTACATGGCTGTGATCGACTATCCGTATCCGACTAATTTCCTTACACCTTTACCTGGATTCCCGGTTAAGGTACAATAGTAAATTGCTTTGATCCACTAAATTAATACATCTGACTAAATGTTACATCGTTTAATTAACTCAGCTTATACACGATGACATTTATACGTATGATAAAAATTAATAAATACTTATTAGTTTAAATTTAATCTGAAAAAAAATTTTAAATCACTTCAATTGATTTATTTTAGTAATTTATTATTCTATATTATTGCAGTAATTTATTTTATTTATCCAGCATGAAATAATTTCTGGATGCTAATGCTATCTTTAATTTGAAATTTATTGTTTTATTTCAACACAAATTATCAATTCGCAATAATTGGAAATCTTTTTCTTTGTTTTGAAGTCTTTACTTTCCTTTTAGTATGCTTGCCAATATGCTACGAAAGCTGGAATAAATGATGAAGAATTAGCAGAACAGTTATACAACGTCATCAATGTTTACTACAACTATACAGGACAGCTTACTGATCACTGTTTTACAAGCAATTGTACAATATTATCACCTTTTCAAAATAATGATGAAGTTATTGCTTGGAACTGGCAGGTAAGCTTGACAATAGCAGTAAGCTCGATAATTTCTCTGAGAGACTATATATACATCTATAATTTGAAATCTTCACATGTACATCTTTATTTGACAAACAGTAAAAGTTTTATATTGAGATCAAAGAGTAAATAATTAAAATTAAATAAAGTAAACTGAAATATTCTCCATGTAATTTATCTTATTCATTTTTTCAGTGCTGTACATCGATGACAATGCAAAATTGTGATCGAAGTGGGGAAAATGATTTTTTTTTGAATACTTGTGATAATCCTGATGGTTTAATTAATATCAGTATTAAATATTGTACGGAATTATTCAAAGATATTGGTTATAGCAGTAATTTCTATAAACTTCATGATACAATGATACGTTATGGAATGATATATAATGCTACGAGTAATACTATATTTTCGTAAGTTTATTGTGCATATTCTCTATCTTTATAAATAAATTAATGCACAATATTGTTTGTATATTGTATGTAATTTTAAGTAATATTCATCATTAAATTTTATTATTCAGAAACGGTAACTTAGACCCATGGTCTGCTAGCGGTGTTTATGAAAATTCACCTGGTATTACGAATGCTATGAGAAATGGTGTTTATATTTTTTATATGTCAGATGCAGCACACCATCTTGATTTACGTACACCTAACACGTGTGATCCACCATCTGTAACATATGAACGATTCCAGGTTTTTTTTTTTCATTATAACAGTAATAACAATAATAATAATTATTATTACTATAGTAACAATTAATAATAATAATAGTAATAAGAATTAATAACAATAAAAAAGTCTAATAAAATATTTTATTGTTCCATCCCTTTCTTCTAATAAAAATAGTTCAATATTTTTTATAATTGATCCAAATATGAGAATTAACGAATTGTTGTGGTGGATGAAATATTATATTGAAAATTTATTGTTTTATAAATACTCGAAAAGAGTCCAAAGAAAATTCGAGCAAAGGTCAAATGAATTGCAGGTTACAAATATAATAAAATGCTGGGTTTATAAGAACTGTACAGAATTACCAACATCAAATCCATTACCGGATAATACTGGTTGGCATGCGCCAGACAACTGTCAATTTATCAAACACGGCTATCCGTGGGGATATATGGAACCAAAGGTATATTCCTACCCTATATTCACTCAATAATTTACATATATTAGTTTAGCTTAATTTAACTCTCCTTTCCCACCCCTCCCCCCCTAATCTGTTTTTTAGGACTTCTCTTGAATGTTTTCACTCAGAAATTAAAATTTGGTTCGAAAAATTTTTTTAAAAAAATGTCGTATTAAAATAAAAAGTACAAATACGATGGCTCATAGGTTGTGAGACCTTTTTCTAATTTGGTATGTTAAAAATATTTTATTGGCTGATTTTTTCCTATAAAAGTCACATTTCGTGCCTAGTTGTAGAAGCGACCTTAAACTAAGATATCAATGATTTTTCTCAACTAATGTTGCGAATTTTTTTAGAAAAGCTGGAAAATAATAAGTTCTGCCTTATTTACCTTAATGGCGACAATATCTGCTATCTTCACTAGTTATCTTATTTCTTGAAAAAAATCTCTTTTATTATTAATATCAAAAGTACTTTTTAATGCTTATTTAAATTTTAGTGCCAAGATTTCCTTGTATTTCTTCTTAATTTCAAATTTTAGTTGTGAACAAAGATCGTATCTGTTATTTATTTAAATTATGCAATATCAATAGCAATTATTTTTCAAAAGAGATGAATTGAGCACCCCTCTCAAACCTTTTTGTGCCTTACTATGGCAGTGTTTTGCTGCAAGAAATGTTTTAAACATATTTGAAGTCATACGAATGTATGCATTTTCAATGTGATGATTTTAAGAAAAAATTTTATTTACATACCATTATTGCAAATACAATAAACCTTAATAAATATACTTTTTTTTTGTTTCTGAAAGAACAAAAAGCACCAAAATGGAGAGGTATCAATTCGAAAAATAAGACAAAACAATCAAAGAAACATTTTGATCAAAGAATTTTTAAGTTTGAAATTAAATACCATCTCAGTTAATTTCAGTTATTTTTTTTATATATTTTCTTTTTCTCCATAAAATATACAGCATAATTTTCAGTCAAAAGAAAAACATTTCAAATCGTAGAAAAAATCAGCCAAATGTAGAAAGTTAAATTTTTCTCATTAAATTTAGATTTTTAACCTTCCAATACTAAAGCTAAAAAGAAAGTGTTGAACTTTGTCAGTGATGGCCTCGAAACTATCAAAAAATTTTTTTTTCCTTTACTTTGAGATAATGGATCAAAACATATTCAATAATCTGTCCTGCCGACGGAGAACAAATCCTTGTAGTGATGAAATAATAGTTGGTAGTGGTGAAAAAATAATTAGAATTAACCTCTCTACAAGGATAACATCAGTACCTAATTTCTTACAGCAAATAAGAAATGCATTCAGAAGTATTTCCGAAACAAAACCTTTAATTATTGTAAATAATGGTCACCCTATATTCACACCACTAGTCATTTATCGTTTCCATACATAAAATGCTGAAAAACTTACACCTTTTTGTCGACACATGCTTTTTTCCGCGTGGCAGCTATTTTCAATTCGTCAGTCCATCACATTTTTTTAATTTCAAAAATCCGACCTGAAAATCCATAAAAATTCTAGTTGGACGTAAAGCTAGTGATGGAGCAGAATTAATGAACAATTTAAATACAAAAACTGTTTAAAACTAGGCTGTTTAAATAATGAATTCAAATAAAAATATTCGATTTATTTGGTAGTACACTTATAAATAATAAAACATACGTAAAACTGGCCAACACTTCGTCCAGTTGGAGGTAAAGCTAGTGATGATTCAAGAAGCATTTCGGTTAATTTCACACAACATGTTAATGGTATGTCTAGTATACCCACACTGGCATCTTCACCGTTCGCACGTGGATCCGTTTTGGCCGATTCAGCATCAAATATCTTAGATTTTATGATGAAAAACGACTGATAAGAAATAAATTGAAAATACAAGACGTAAAATATCAAGTCTTAAAACAATTATTTTACTTTAGTGCAGTTGCTAAATTGACACTCTAACAAATGTCTTCACTTTAAACATTATAAATGAAAATAGAGATTAAAAGCAGCTTGGGGAAATGAAGTAATTAATTTCCATTTGCAACAATTGAGATCAAATATTTAAACTAATTCTAAATCATACCTTATAAAGCATTTTTAGCGCTGGAAATGAGTAAACCAATCTATCATTTCCTTCAGTTTCAGATCCGACTAGTTCACCTTGTGATATCACAACATATGAATCTAATAACCATACCTTCAAATCAGAATAAATTTATAAAAAAAAAAAAAAAACAGAACAGAATCTCTTCACCAATATTACAAAGATGACAACAAGAATCCGTCTACCAGTAAATACGGTCGTTTGTCGTAAGAGCGAAGGACAAGTTTTCCTGATGTCTGTAATTCACATTGGTAAAGCAACGTCCAGGCGAAGAAATGCTCTAGCGTGCCAAATCTGTTTATGAAATTTAATTTAATAACAAACTATTTACCAACTTGCAGAAAAATAAGAAACAAAAAGATATTTCTAGAAGATTTTATCATCACTTAATTAATAATGATAACGCATTTAGTAAGATGGTTAGAATCTGCTATACTAAATATCTCGAACGTAGGTTGAATCATCCTATCATATCTAACCATGGAATCATTCGTTACCAGTATCCAAACATTCCATCTATAATTACAGTATTAAAAATTAACTGACCTAGTATTTATGTAAGCTTTCCTGTTATCAGTAACTAGTAGATTGCACATTACATGATGAAACTGTACAATTTCAGCATTTCCTGAAAGAAGTTCTGACGTTATAAAATCTTAATAGCTAAAAAACTTATTTAAAATAGTTCAAAGAAACAACGACCAATAACCAAGCCAAACAGAACATATAAACGAGATTTCTGTGCTGTAATGATTGCACAAAACTTGGCAACTTACAAGAAATTCACTGGATGGACAAACTAGTACAGGCCACTGAGATTAAAAATACTTAGAAAATACTAAGCAAAAAAGTACAGAAGAGAAATGAAAATTATAGCTGGAGTAGATTTACTGCATGAATTCTCATGAACTGTTGCAAGTAAAATATATCACGAAGAATATTACATCACTATTTGGATAAAATCGCAAAAACAAACTTTTCAGAATAACTCCAATCTCTACGGAACATTTGGCACAGAGTACAATATTGGACTCATCAATGGTTACTGCATTCGAAATAATCATCTAAAGAAAAACTGTTCTCGAAATCAATTCTTTAGTTCTTTTTCAAAGAAAATTAAAGATGGTGATGTACACAAAGATTACCCATTTTGGAAAAAATTCCATAATTAATATGAAGTGATCATGAAAAGGAATGTAATATTACTTCGTTTTAGTTCATTTTTACTGGTTTTTTTTTCTTATGTGATAATGATTTAAAGATCAAAAAAGAATTTTCGTAGAGATGAGAAGAAACAATAAATTCTTTCAATTCTTCTGGTAATGAAGTCTCTACCTTTATTGAGAAGCTTTATACTAATAGCACAAACCTTCCTTAACACTAGAAAATACGAATCTGATATAACAATTCGTTGTTCATTTGGAAGCCATTGCTTTTGCACATCATCAGCACATATCAAATCTGAACTGTGCGCACCATGATGTCCATGAGAATGTGAAGTAGCACCACCACATGTATCACGACAAAAATACTCCATAGATGGTGAAGTATTCAACCAACCATCTTCCGGTAACGATTGTAATTTCAAATTACTGAAAGAGCTAAATTATATTAAGAACTAATTTATAGTTTTCGGAACAAATAATAAGATAGAGAAAGAAGAAGAGAACAGTAAAGGATAAAAAAGACACAGATCTGAAAATCAAGTAAAAAAAAATAAACATACTTGCTAGAATAATTCAATAAAGTAGCCGAACATTCTGCACATTCCGCTTGCACAGGAAGTAACTGAGCATTCTCAATATATTCATCCAAAAGCATTCCAGATAATACATTAACTGCCAACTGATGAAATGTTTTCGGTACTGAAAATAAGTGACAGAAATCAAAACTTGAACAGTATTTTTTCCATATTGCATAGAATTCAAGCATTCGAAATTATCGTGAATTACGGCAATAGCAACGTCTACATGAGAATACTTTACTGTCCGTCAATATTATAGCAAATTTTATAGCTATTGATCACATATCAAACTAAACTAACATGAATAATTACTAAATATAAGTGAATCATTTTACAGCAATCAATCATTTATTTACTACTTACAGATGATGGAAACCTCGGTAACTTTCACAATTTAAATCATGATTCCAAATGTATCAAAACATTTAGTTATTCTCTGAGTAGTAACCTGCCATTTTATATTAATAAATAAAGATTATGTGTTAAGAATAGATTTACCTAATGGATATTCACCAACTGCTACCCGCACTTTACACATAAACAGCCGATGATTATCAGCCCAAGTAAGTGCGCAAACTGAATCTGGATATAAGGTAAGATCACCAAATTTGGCCCAATATGATGGCAACATTTCGCTGGCACCATTTTTCCTTTGCTGGACTATTGAACTCATTTCGATAGAATGTTCACGAAAATGTACCATTTCTTTCCGTTCCACTGTTTCCTTACTGCAAAAGAAAAAAAAAAAACAGATAATACTTTACTGAAATAATATTATTAAACAATAACCAAAAAACTACAAAAATAAGTCAAAAAAGAAAAAGTACCACTCAAAAAAGCTGAAACAATAAAATAAGAATATCAAACATAAATACCCAAAGAAATATAACAACTCATAAATAAAACTTCCAAACATATCATAATACAACTTTTCCAATCCAAGAAACTTAAACAAAAAAATAATGCAGATAAAAAAAACTAAAGAAAAATATAACAAAAAGGTTAACAAATCAAAATAAAAAATTTTAATGACTTCAAACAGAATAAATTCTTTCGCAATTCGTATTAATTTATCGTAAAATAATCAACAGAATAAAAAGGTACCGGCAAATAACCGTGAAACGGACTATACATATAACCAGTTCCTTCCCCATTTCACATACTATCCATATGTTAAAATTTTTGTTTTTCATATGCTTTTTTCTCTTTTCACACGTCAATTTCACATTGTCAGATATATTGTGAGACTGCAAAATCGGTTATTCCGGAATATCCCGTATATTGAAATGGATAATACGAAGAAATCAATCTTGCACTCTCCCTACATGGCTGCCTCCTAAAATAACAGAGGAAGGGGTAAAGTAGGGAGTAATAAGTAAACTTTAAAAAAATACGAGAATGAAGAAAAAACAAGATAGAAGAAACAGAGAGAATGAAAATTAAGAGAAAGAGATGAGTCTAATAGCATTCGTCAGATATTACGAATAGCAATTTTGAAATTTCATAATTAGAAATTCTAATCGACGGTATTCTAAAATTAGTACTGCATCGTTTTAATCGATAAATAACGGAGAAACAATCAGATGAGA